ATATAAACAAAGTCTACCAAGCAAACAACCACTCGAATGGTAGAAATGGCTACCTTTGCTTGAACCCCTAGAACTAAATAAGTGAGACGAAGTTTCTTACAGAAATAAATCCGCAATTAAGGAAGAGACTAATGCTCAATTCAATGATCTAGACGAAACTAATCGGTATGTTGAGTGCTCTGAATCACCAAATTCCATCCAGTCTCCCAGTTCTAGAACAAAACCAGACCTGATAAATTTTCGGAAACATCGTTCGAACCGTCGCCCCCCCGGACTGCCTCAAACATTTGGACCTAGTCAACCAAATAACCAGAACCAGAACGTAATACCTGACTTGGCATATACATATTTTGGTCCAATTTCTAATCATTTAAATAATGAGTCTGAAACCACCCGGTTAGAATAACCAACCGTCAACTAGTACAAAGGTCTACCAACCATAATCTCAGTCGTAACTTAGTACTTATTCCAATAAGGAAAAACAATATATGTGAATCATCTATTGCATCTATACCCTCAACCGAGGGATTGAAGTTAGCTCATGTAAATATACGATCCCTACGAAATACAGCCCATTTCTTGCAGTTGAAAGAACTCGTTAGAACAAGTAGAATTGACGTCTTTACTATCTCCGAGACATGGTTGAACACTACGGTAACAAATAAGAAATTAGAAATTGATGGTTACAGTTTCTTGTTATTGGTGCTGTTTCCTCAAAACACTGCTATCTGTCTAATCACACACCAAGGCTTGATGTTCTCACCCGACATCATTAGGCTACCAGCCCCTGATTAGAACCCACCCACAAACCTAGCATTTGTAGGAGGGTCTGGAGACATAGCCCTCTTCTGGGAAATTTTGAAATCTAGGACCTCCGAAATGCGATATCCTGCGTTCTGAAGGAGCTTTTCATTCAAGTTCATACATCAAAATCGAAACGTAATTTGCTGGTTTTGGGGAAAAGTAATACATCGGCCTTATAGCGTAAGAACAACATAATAAAATAATGTTCCAGATAAAATGACTTCCAGCAGCACCGCCATGACATAAATTCCAGTTAAATTATTTTAATAATCCAGGATTAATCCCAGGGCAAAATTTACGTTATGTGAACGGCCTCGCTCATCTCTGGAGCTAGTCACTCAAATATTTGTAGAGGGCATTTATATCCACCATCTTGACAAATGCAGTTTGAATTTTTAAAACAAGCTCTAAGATTATCAAGGGTGTTAGGTTCAGGTTTCCATTGTTGCTGAACAGTTAATAATGAAAATAAACAATTATTGAAACAATTTGCTGAAAATATATTATTTTCCTGAAAGTCTGGATATCTACCATACATTGACCAATAGATCGCCACAGCTTTTACATTGAATCCCAAAGATCATACATTCAGGAAATTGTCTATAGGACTAATTTTTGTATCCAATACTACTGTGGAACTAATTAATCTCACTGGCTTTGACACCACAATATTATATCAAAGTTGTCCTCGATATACAAACCCTGACTCGTTTATATTTATTATGTATCCAAAAACACTACGAAAATACAAATTCACTTCTCTCAGAAACCCTAGTAAATCTCTCCGTCTCGCATGCAATAACAACCTAATTAGTAATAATTATACCATATATGGTTATGTTCCGAGTATTTCTATATATAGCTATACGGCATAGTACAAAACATGGACTGGACTGGACAGTTGGACTGGACTGGACTGCACAGTTGGACTGGACTGGATTGGACAGTTGGACCGGACAGTTGTACTGGACTGGACAGTTGGACTGGACTGGACTGATTTTTACATTTTCTCTATTCTTGACTTGCACGTCACCCGCCATGTCAGGTGGCATGGCACAAAAGAATATTTTATCACAGAATAGATATACCGTGTCAAGTATTTTGTGATTTTATCAATGAACATTGTCTGGTGTGTACCAGGAGGAGATTGATTGCAAGTCAAGAATATAACGTTTTGCACCTGAATTACTTTTGATTTTCGGAAATTGAAATACTTTACCTTCGCCGATGACCTTACTTTATAACTGGAGTGAAATCTCTTAAAGCGAAAGAAACCCCAGTAAGTAGAATAGAATACAATACCAAACATAAACTACTTATCTGTCTTTGCTATGGGTAGCCTGCTCGCATACGTATTAAATTTCGATATTTCAGTCTGCATGGCCATGGGCATAGAAAGATAGATAATTGGCAGGGGGGGGCAGGAGCTCATATTCATATATTTGTGGTCTGCATCATTAACTTCTTTTGAATTTGATTGTTTTTACAGTCTGCGAACATGAATATATGAATATGAGCCCCCCCCCACAAGATCTTCTTACGATCATGGCAATACGTATCCGAGCAGGCTACAAAGTAGTTTATGTTTGGTATTGTATTCTATTCTTCTTAGGGGCCGACCATTAACTTTTGAGGGGGATGGGGGAGGGGGTGATTTCCTGCAAGGCTATTCTGAACAAAAGAAAATGCCTGCACTAACAAACTGGGGGAAAAAATATCCTGCCCCAGTATTTGGTGGGGGAAAAAATGTTGCAAAATAACATGGTTGCAGGGATCGATTTGACCAGTCCCAGAAGATCAGCTGGTTTGATTTTCGGAGACTATAGTGAAAGGTTAATTTCTTGTTGGAAAACTCCTGAAAATGCTGGAAATAGCTTATCTGAGCTTCACAAAATCCACAATTTTCTGGGGGGGGGCATGCCCTCAGACCCCTCTAGAGGCTTGCACCTTCGGTGGTCGACTCGGTTGTCTCAGAATCCTAGTTAATATTGGCCTGATCTGCTGCCCTATGGCGTATACTTATTAGTTAAACCATGCATATATATGCTGATAGCTGCAGTGATACAGACTTGCCAACTGGAACTTCTTCAAGTCCCCAGCTAAACATGTCCCCTCCAGTTACACATCCGTAAAGAGGCCCTGAACCAAATCTTATACCTCATAGCAATATGTATTATTAAAAGCAATCTCCCTCGCCCTCCCCTCCCCCTCCCCCCAGCAATATGTATTATTAAAAGCAATCTCCCTCGCCCTCTCTCTCTCTCCAAATCGACCCCCCCCCTTAAAAGTTAAATGGTCGGCCCCTTACTGGTGTTTCTTTCGCTTTAAGAGTTTTCACTCCAGTTATAAAGTGAGGTCATCGGCGAAGGTAAAGTATTTCAATTTCCGAAAATCAAAAGTAATTCAGGTGCAAAACGTTCAGCATGAGCTCCACCTTTGAATTTACTATATGAGTAAATTCTTAAACACGTCCGAATTTATCATTATGAAAAATTCGCGGCAAATTTTGAATTTATCATAATAATAAATTCGCGGCACCTAACACTAACCCTAACCCCCACCCTAACCACTAACCCCTAACCACTAACCACTAATTTTTAAATTTTTTAACTTTTTAAATTTTTTTAACTTCTTTAAAAATCTAACTTTTTAAACTTTTCTTGCTTTTCAAAACTCTTTTAAAACTTTTTAAAACTTTTTTAAAAGCTATTTTTTTAAAAAAGTTGGAAAACTCCCCACCCCAGCGCGTTGAAAACTGATAAAATCACAAAATAGACATAACATGGTATATTTATTCTCTGATAAAATATTCTTTTGTGCCATGCCACCTGACATGGCGGCTGACATGCAAGGAATAGAGAAAATGTAAAAATCAGTCCAGTCCAACTGTCCAGTCCAGTCCAACTGTCCAGTCCAGTCCAACTGTCCAGTCCAGTCCATGTTTTGTACTATGCCCTTTAAATTTTAGCTTAATCTGTTAACTAAACTTTTATATGCATATCGAATCGAAATGGAAATGAATGAAATCAGAATAAATATAAAACTAAATTTTAGGTTAAATTTATAAATAGCAGATGTTTGCTAATTGAGTTTAGGTGAATTGTTTCGCACCCAAGCGAATATTATTTCACAATATAGTCAAAACGTCGAAGTTCTCCTGGTATTTTTCAGGCAGTTGCATCCCTATTATTAGTATTAATCCGAAGTTTTCTTATTATTGGTACTACCTAGCGGCTACACTGGTCACTGGCACGTACGACCGTTGAAGATAGTGAGAAGAGATCAATAAATGAATTTTTGTCACCGAAATCGAAATAAAAAGTAAATACATTTCAGTTTCAAACATGATTATTTATTCCTATAGGCCATAATTTATATTATTGAATCGAGTGAGATGATTATATTACTTTACTTAACATGGCAGTGCCCTAGTATACACTGTATAACTACCTCCTCCGCAGGCCTTTCAAAAACATAAAATTGGTGCGAAACGAACCTGGAGGCCTGCGGACTAGTTTTCCAAAATGGCGGGAAGCCAGAAACTAAATTATATTTAATATATCATTTTACCAAAACAATATTATTGTTAAAGTCTTTAACTACTTCTGATATAGATCGCTTTTCTTATCAGCAATATACATAAAAACAGTGAACAGTGAACAAACAAGCATATACAATGATTTATAAAGAGAAGCAGATAAATATCAGTTTATAATTTGCATATTACAAACACGCTGCGGCCGTTTATCCACGAAATTTATTCCATTTATATTTATCTTTTATACAGTGTAACTATTTAAATGTGTGTGTATATAGTCAAAACATCCCATTTGGCCAAATGATAGATTCACAACGTCTATTATCACTGTCGCTTGTGCTTGTAAAACCCTCCATTTTTTTTAATCTCCTCGTCGCTTTTATCAGCCATAACAGCCAAGATGTATTTAGAAAATACTCGCAAAAGGGATTGCTAAAGATTGGCAGACGATGTGCCATATTTTTGAAGAAATTTGACCCAACCGAGTAATTGACACCAAAAGCCAAGTAATCGACATGTTATTCAGCAGGCCTTACAGCTACGCAAGCTTTCGTCTCAAATTTCAAATTCAAACCTGCGAACGGGCTGTATGGCCTGCGGAGGAGGTAGCACTGTATAACATGAACTTGCCGGTTATAGAGCTCGACGACAACTACTGCACTCTGTAGCTCAGTTGATTCAGTAGAGCGCTGTACCAGAAACGCAGGGCCGCAGGTTCGATTCATGCCAGGGACCTATATATAGTTACATTTTTCGCAGCTGTTCATGGTTAATTAGCTCTAATAAATGTATATAAATCTCCAGTCGACAATTTTCTATCTATACAAAACCCTTCAACTAGTTACTCGATCATGCAAGTGAGCTTATGCCTTATGACTGTGTAGTTATCTATTTTCGATTCGATTCGTTGTATTGTGGCTATGCCTATAGTGTTGTCAAAGCATCGCCTATAATATATGCAGTACTCTGCGACTAGATAGTGTTCAGTTTAGCAAGTGTACGTAAAGCTCTCTTCAAAGGCGGGTATACTGAGCTCGAAAACAAAAACGTAACTCTATATACTATATAGTCTAATAGACATTAGTCATTACATTGCGATAATACAGCGAGGCATTCACAAATGATCATGTTTGCAGCATGTACATGTATATTATCTTTTATTATATTATATCAATAGTCAAAGTCCAATTTTTCTAGTGTTTTATTGGTTGAGAGCATATCACGTGAGAGTGACGAAATTAGGCTGTCTCCCTCGCAATAGTGCGAGAAGGAGATAATATGTTATCGACCGGCGAATAACAAAAAAAATCACGTGCGCCATCACGTGAAGATGCGACCTTTGGACATGCCTAGTACGTAATTAAAACTTTCGCTTTAAGTAACTGCAGTGTAGCCAGTGTTTATTAATCTAAAGTTTTAACAATAAAATATTTCATGTATTTACGTTCATTTGTTCTTTAAAATTTGTTGTTTCTTTGACTATTGATATAAAATAAAACACTTATTTACTGAGACGGTCTCGGGTCCACAAAACACACTGTTTCCCTCGGTCTCAGTAAATAAGTGATAAATATATTATATTGTACTTTCAAGCTTGTTCTTGTTGGTTTTAGGAAATCGTAGCGAAAATCCAAAGTCAAGTCCGGCAAAAGTCCAGTCCAGTGTTTACAACATGCTGATTATACAAGACAGAGAATCAGTTACGCGGGTTTTTTTTGCTATTTTTTTAGTTTAAAATATCAAAGAATCTGCGATCTGACCCGGGCCGCGAATAAAAATGGTTAATACATGAAAAGGGTTTGATTACAAAAAGACAGCATCGTTTTTATCATTACATTTACATCCCGCCGAACTTTGGCGCTATCACCTACCTAATTTACATCACCTTAAGCTTAAAAGCCTTAATTTAAGGTGATGTGTTGACAGATTCAAGCCGATTTAAATTGTGTCAAAAATAGGAAGTTATGGAGTTTAGGTTTTTGTCGAGGGTCGAGTGTCGCGGGTCCAGTGTCGAGGGTGAGGGTAAAAAGTCGAGGGTGAGGGTAAAAAGTCGAGGGTGAGGGTAAAAAGTCGAGGGTCGTAAAAAATGTCGAGGGTTGTATTTTTACGCAGTGCCTTTTTTAAACGATCCGCTCTACAGTTTCAGATTCCAGTTTCAGATTCAAATTCAGATTCATATTCAGATTTGAATCTGAAACGGGGTCAATTGTCGCGTATAAAATGTGGAATTGCTCTGTCTCTTTTCACGGAATAAACGTAATTCGTCAAGGACATCCATCTTCAGACAATTGTGCATTTGACAAAACTATATTTTAGTTTTTAGCTCATAATGTGAAGCCAGGAAAAATCGCAGAAACTACACGACCAACGCGTGATTTCTTACTGCGCCATGTTTGTCTTAAGTTGTCGGCAAAATTATTTTTCGCTGTGTATCGCAAAATACGCGTGTATTTCCCTAATTTCTGAAAGACATGCATTAGTACACTATAGTAAATGGTATAAAGAAAACTAGGTCTTGAAAACGTTACTTGTTTTGTCAGGAAAAATCGCAAATCATATATCATGAGATACGGCTTTTGTAACCTGAAGCGAACGTCAACAACGCAGCGGAGAGAATAAACACTTCTCACGCGTCACAGGCTCACTTTGGAATATTCGTCTGCGAAAGACATTCATCTACAACTATCACAAAATGATACAACGCAGTTGTTATTTTCAAACAGCTTGTTGTTTTGGCAGGAAAAATCGCAATACACAACCGCTGTTGGAATCGAAAATCCGGGCGGGAATTAAGACTTTCATCACAGTTCATTTAGTCTCATATAAGCGAAGTTTCGTTTGCCTTCGCAGTGAATCTTCACCAGTTGACTGTAAATTATGGTCAAGTTTAAAATACTCTAAAATTAGGCAAATATTTCTCGCGGAAAAAGGGCTTGGAATCGTTCTTTGGAAGAACGATAGGATATCAACCCCCCGGATTTTATTGTTTCAGATTCAAATTTCATAATAACAATCTCAGTGCGTATAATATAACAATCTTTTGCGATTTTTCCTGCGCATATGCGTTGCCGAATCGCAATAAGAACCAGACAGAATGAAGCGCACAATAATGTAGATGAATGTCCTTCTTTGCGGTATCTGCTGGTTTAATACAGTTGCTGTGGTTGAAGGATTTACGCAGACTAACGCTGTTTCAGCTCGAATCTGAAACTGAATCTGAATCTACATGAAATTTGAATCTTAAACAAAACTATCCGGGGGGCTGACATCCTATCGTTTTTTCATAAAACGATTCCAAGACCTTTTTTGCAAAAGGTATTGGGCTGCTTTTGACATAATTCAAACTTCAGCATAATTTACAGTCAACTGGCTAAGATTCAGTGTGAAGACAAACAAAACATCGCTTATATCCGACTAAACGAACCGTGATGATAGTCTTAATGCCCACCCGGATTTTCGATTCCAACACTGGTTGTGCTTTGCGATTTTTCCTGCCGAAACAACAAGCTGTTTGAAAATAACAAGTGCGTTGTATCATTTTGTGATAGTTGTAGATGAATGTCTTTCGCAGACGAATATTCCAAACTAAGCGTGCGACGCGTGAGAAATGTTTATTCTCTCAGCTGCGTTGTTGACGTTCGCTTCAGGTTACAAAAGCCGTACCTCATGATCTATGATTTGCGATTTTTCCTGAGAAAACAACTAACGTTTTTAAGACCTAGTTTGCTTTATACGATTTGCTATAGTGTACTAATGAATGTCTTTCAGAAATTAGGGAACTACACGCGTATTTTACGATACAAAGCGAAATATAAGTTTGTCGACAGGTCAAGACAAACATGGCGCAGTAAGAATTCACGCGTTGGCCGTGTAGTTTCTGCGATTTTTCCTGGCTTCACCTTATGAGCTAAAAATTAAAGTATAGTTTTGTCAAATGCGCAATAGTCTGATAATGGATGTCCTTGATGAATTACGTTTATTCCGTGAAAAGAGACTGAGCAATTCCCCATTTTGTACCCCCGTTTCATATTCAAATCTGAATATGAATCTGAATATGAATCTGAAACTTGAATCTGAAACTGTAG